ATCATGGGAACAAAATGCGCTTGGGAAATCAATATTTGGGCTTCTGGCAAATATCAATTTCCTTTTAATATAGTAGTGGGGGACGTATAGTGTTGATGAAGCCCGAAAAGTAATGATAAAGAGAAAAAAATGAAGCGCGGCATCGTTGTCTCGTAGCTTTTAACTTATCAAACACTTCAAAACCCACTACATCTACATTTCCAACAAATTGAATTGATGTATGGAGTCCAAATCAGCGTCCTTGCGGTATTTAACTGCGCCGGAAGCAACTGCACACCTACAAGTGATTAACAACAATTTTAAAGTTTGACTGATGTTCTTGTTGACCCCCTCATTATTATTAATATACAGCCGTTTGTTTGAAATAACGTCATCGGCTCATTATCCTACTAGCGTTTGGTCATTTGTTGCCATCATGGCAGAAGATTTCTTGCAGAGCTCCTCTATCTTTGATGCTGCCATCTGGAGAATATTTTTCCAAACTAAGCTTTCATTACTTTGAATTACATTGTTCATGTCTGTTGTCGTTTATGTTATAGCCGATAGTCTCAAGGTGGAATAAATCAATTATAATGTAGCATGGGGATGGGCTGATAGTATCTGAGTAATAATAGGAATGATATCTATATCTATATGTATATATATATATATGAATATAAGAAATCTGTGCTAAGTGTAAGCAGTAAGTGGGAAACATGAATGGTAGAAATGAGTTTGAGTTTATAAAGATTGTATTTAGTGAGCTAAATTATGTACTTGATGGTACAAAATTGGAAGGTAATATTTCTTAAAAGTAACATTAATGCATATCAATGCAGAAGGTTTATTAGAAAAGAATAGAGTCAAAATAAAAGGAAAAATATATGCAGTCCCATAAGTTTATCTAAAGTTTTTTGATGAAATTTAGTTGACTTAAAAGAGTTAGATGAAGTCAGATTTAGCCAAGACATGGGTAGAGTCATTCAAGTTGTTGACCATGACATCAAGTAATTAGATCTACTAATTAAGATGGGTGATGGTAAGAAAATAAAATTGATTTTATGGTAATATCATAGAAATATAAGTGATAGTACATCTGTCGAAAGTAATATGATAATTTCAATTTATATTTCAAATTATGCTCAAGCTACCAAAGATATCTTTGTAGAGAATTCTAGTGGCATGGTAGTTAGACATATGGTTAGATATAAGCGCAAGCATATTTAATTACTAGGTGACCAAGATGTTTGTTGCGCGAGATGAACTAGTTTTTTTTCACATTCTAAGCCTGATTGTCAGCTTAGTCTTCACTCTCTTGGTTGGTGGCACCATGGAAAAGTCTACCACTCCTAGCTCCAAAAACTTTCCACTACATTTTTTATTGCTAAAAGTCTTATTCTAGCTTCATGGAGTTTCTATTCTTGATTTAATCTATTACAACTTCTAATTTGCAGTGCTAACTTTTTAACTTCAGGGTTTCATTTTCTTAGAAAATGGTAAGATGAGAATAAATATTTGAAATTTCTATGTTAGATATATGTTATGTTGCATGTGGCATAGAAGTTTTTTTAGCCTATATGTTAGATTAGCTTTGTAGAAATTTTAGAAGAATATTGCCTTAGGCTCTACCAAAACATTCAAATGATTAGAAGTTCTTATATGTGTTTATCCATTTTAGCCATTATATGTTTCTAATTATTATTTCATTAAAATAAAATTTCTCATGCTCCTTAGAATATTGATATTGCTCACCTAAAATTTCCTAGCTACATATATTAATAGTTTTTCATACAAATTTTATTTATTATCATTTTGGTAAAAATAAATATTAAGATATCGTCAGTTTTAGTAATTTACAATTCAACTAATTTATTTTTGATTTGTTCCTTTAATAGATTAATAAAAAAAACTATTAAGTAATTTTAATAAGTTAATTTTATTAAAATAAAAAAAAATTCCATAAAGAAAATTAATACCTTTGATTACCCTAATTAACCACATATTCTTAGTGATTGGACCATGGGTTAACTCTAACATGTCCAAATTTCATTGCCTTTTGAGGTTCATTTGATTGGAAGGTTTGAAAGCATGAATTGGGCTACCTTAATTTTTCCTGATTTTTTGTAAACCTGATAAGAATTATGAAACAAATCAAAATTAAAAGCATTAAACTCTTAAGAAATTCTACCAAATAATAAAAGCTATTCAAACTTATTTTGAAGGTATAAGCTTTGGTCACCCATAATCAAAGATTAAATAAGTAATAAACATTCTAATATCATTAAAGCTGATAATGATTCCAAATTAAATTCAAATTTTTAATGTCTTTCTTGCTATTTAGTTTTAATTAACGGGCTTAATTTTATTAATTTTTGTGTCTAATTGATTGAAGAACCTTAAGAGCTCCACAAATCTTAAATAAAATATTTTAAATAAACTAAGTAAGAAAAAGATACCTTTCATAGGCTTTAAAATATATTGATATAATATTTCACTATTAGTGAAATGCATATCTTATTATATTTAGGATATAAGGAATAAAAATGGACTCTTTTCTTAAATAAAGTTCTACATTATCCAAATGTGATTATGATAATTCTATAATTTAGTTGATCATTAGCGCTAAAATAATAAAAAAGATCTTAAAATATAGAATAATTATAATTTAATCCACCTTAAAATAATATTTTTTGAATATTTTTCAAAATTGAAACAAAAGTAAACCTTAATAGGAAGACAACCATACGGCCTAGCACACACTAGATGATGGATATAATACAAGATCTTGCGCATCATGGTTCAATGTATTTCTTATTATGATGATGTAATTTTTGTTGTGATGTTGCCCTACTTTAATTCTAAGTGATGTGGGACCAATGAAAGTCAATGCTCGTGGATTAATTTGGTTGATTAGTTATACCTTATTTTAGTCACGTTTAAAGAGGCTAAAATCAACCATTACAATTAACTATATAAGCATATATGTGCTTGCTTAACAATGCTAAATTCTTTAAGCATGATTAATCAAGAAAACAACTTAGCCTCATTATATGCTTGGATACTTGTGCTAAATGTGCTTAAAATTGTTTTTCTTTATTAACCTTTAAGCTATGGCCTTCATGAACATGTGACAACCAAACAGAATAAGGAAGAACCTTTAAAGTGATGTCTTATGGCCTTTGTAACAAGAAGAATCTTGATGATCAAGCTTGCAGAACCACACACATTAAATATTGAAATATGTTTATCTGAATAGATTTAAGATGGGCTATATAAGGCAATTAATGCTCAACTACCATTCTACTTCTCTTTTACAAGATTGTGCTTGTGGACATAGCTTCTCAATTATTTATTTATGTTTCAATGATAGCTTTGCTTAATTTTGATTAACTTTAAATTTTACATTAGGCTAGAATGTTTTTTCTGATATTTTTAACTTGCTTGCTTGTGTATGGTGAGGACTAGGGCTGTCAAAACGGCTTGTTGTTCGCGAACAGCTCGTTAGCTAAGTTAATGAGCCGAGCACGAACAAATATTTATTCGTTCTTGTTCGGCTCGTTTTGGCTCGAAATACTACTAATCAATTATATATATATCTTTGATGAGTAGTATTTTTAAAAATTTAATTGACTACAAGGCTACAAAGATTTATAAACAATTAAAAGTATTAATGAAGAAAATAGAATAAAAAATATTAAATTAGAATCAAATGATGTTTTAAATCTTGCCACAATTCTTAACGTCTTATGGCTACGTGATTAGGGTTGTCAAAACGACTATTTGTTCATGAACGGCTCGTGTTCGGCTCTCTAAGCAAACGAGCCGAACACGAACACACTTTTTGAGCTCGAAATATAAACAAACCGAACACCAGTTAAGCCTAGGCTTGCTCGTGTTCGGCTCGTTTACACCCCTAGCGAGGACATTTACGTGAAAATATCCTAAGAATGAAATTTTCTACTTAATAAAAAAAAACTATAGAATATTAAACTAAAACCCCTTGGGATAATCTGCCTCCATTCCGAGTTATGAAATTGAAGTCATTTCTTAGGGATTATTATGATATTATATCAAATTTTAGTAATAAATTGTAATTTAAAATTATATCATATGCATTTTACATTAGAATTACTAAATGGATGTAACATTGTAATTAAGCTGGGTCAAGCCAAGTTTGTCATTGATTTACTGGGTGTGGTTAGTTTATAAGTTGTTCATATTAAGCTCGTGCAAGATTCAAGCTTTCAAATGTATATTCATACTCGGTTTGTTATATATATATTTTAATAATCATACATGAATATATTTGGATTGCTTATAATTATTTAATGAGTATTTCAATTATTTAACAATCAAGCTCAAAATTCATATAAAATTAATAACAAATAATTTGATAAATCTAAACAAAGAAGTAATTGAATAAATTTCAAATAAGCATCAAACTAATCTACACCAATAAAATAAATTAATATGTGAGTTTGCAAGCATATTTTCTTGCAATTAAATAACATAATTATGTACTAAAAAATTAGTGCCTTCAAATAAAAAAAATTAAATAAGAAAAAAAATACATTGACTTAGAATGAATATTAATCAATAATAATTAATGTGATTTATATGATGGATAAATATATATTATATATTTATATAATAACTAATTAATTAATATTAAAAAAAGATGAATTTAATATATTAGATAAAAGTTCATCAATTAATAAATTAAGTTAAATAATAAATATTAATTAATTAAATAAATCTATAATTAATAATTAATTGTAAAAATATTATTTGATATTAAATTATAATATACTAATCTAAACAAAATTTAGTTGATTAATTTTAAAAAATTGACTTTTTATATAATTTAAGCTATCATTCAGATATAATATAAAAAATTTAATAAATTATTTATTGAACAAAAAAAATAAAAATATTAATTTAAACAAATTTGAACTAATATTATTTAAATTAAATTTGATTTATCGCCCTTCGCCTATGTTAAACCCCAGCCGTGTGTCCTGTGAAAAATAAACGCAGTGAAGATTGTAGCTGTAGTTCGCCGAGTGGACATCAATGGATGAAGTCTCCAGAAACCCTAGCTTCGACGTCATCATCATCGGCGCCGGAATAATGGGCAGCTGCGCCGCCTACGAGGCCGCGAAGAGGGGGAAGAAAGTCCTACTCCTCGAGCAATTCGATCTTCTCCATCATCTCGGCTCCTCTCACGGCGAATCCCGCACCATCCGCGCTACCTACTCTGCTCCCCACTACCCTCCCATGGCCATCGAATCCGCACGCCTCTGGGAACAAGCTCAGGCCCATTCCGGCTACCGTGTTCTAACCAGAACCAGTCATCTCGACCTCGGCTCAGCCAGCAACCCCGCCCTCCAATCCATAATTCGTAACTGCTCCACAAATCCCCTCGCCCTCAAGGTGCTCGACACGGAGTCCCAACTCGCCGAACAGTTCTCCGGCGCCTTTCGGCTTCCGGTCGGCTGGCTTTCCGTCTCCACCGCCCTCGGTGGCGTTATCAAACCCACTAAAGCCGTCTCGATGTTCCAATCCCTAGCGTTCCGGCACGGAGCGACGATCAGAGACCGCACCGAGGTAACTGAGATCGAACGAGATGAAGTCGGTATCATCCGAGTCTCGACGGCCGATGGCCGACAATTCCGTGGAAACAAGTGCGTGGTGACCGTCGGAGCATGGAGTGGGAAATTGATCAAAAAAATTACAGGGTTGGAGCTTCCGATCGAGCCCTTTCATATCTTGACCTGGTATTGGAAGATCAAGGGGGAGTTCCAGGCGGACATGTCAGTGGAGGGGGGATTCCCGACCTTCGCCTACTACGGGGAGCCGCACTTGTACAGCACGCCATCGATGGAGTTCCCCGGACTGATCAAAATCTCATTAGTATCCGGCTGGGCTTGCGATCCGGATCGTCGGGACTGGACGATTGGCGGAGGAGATGTAAGTGAAGTGGTGAAGCAAGTGGCGGAATGGATTGAATTGGTGATGCCGGGGAGGATCGAGACGGCGAGGGGACCGGTGATGACGCAGCCTTGTATGGTATCAATGACGCCGGATTTGGATTATGTGATTGATTTTGTAGGCGGGGAGTTTGGAAAGGATGTGGTGGTGGCCGGAGGGTTTTCCGGCCATGGTTTCAAGATGGGGCCTTTGGTGGGACGGATTCTAGCTGAGATGGCCATTGCCGGCGAGACTGAATCGCTGGGGAAGATTGGTGTGGACGTCAATGTGTTTCGTATGGGAAGGTTTAAGGAGAACCCCAAGGGTAATGAATGGTAAGGAAGGACATCAAAGTTCTTGTTGTTGCTCTTCCAGTGCAGTGAGGAGGTTTCGTTTCCATTTTCTTACTCTGTTCTGTACAATATTTCTTGTTCTTATGGAAGAAGATGGAACCATTTTTGGTAAAGTCATATTGATTTATGGTTTTGGAGTCAAAAAAAGGATTTTGAACATATAAAAGCAAGCCTTTAATAAAGTGGTAGAGTTCCTAATTAGAAATAACTAAGTCAAATGTTAGTAAGATCAAAAGAACAAGAGCTTGGTTTGAATTGACTTTACCAAAAATGCTTTATTAACTTGAAGGCAAGCCTAGTCAATAGTGTGTGACATGATGACTGATAAGAGATAGATTTGGTCAAAAGGGCATGGTTAAATTAAGAAAAATCTAATAAAAGAGAATGATCAAATAAATACAAAAAATTAGAATCATAAGAGCATGACTCCGCGAAGAATGAACTCGATTAAAAGAACATGATTTTAGGGATAAAAAGCATAATCTAAAGAGCACAATTTTATAGAGGCTATATTTTGTCAATTTGATATGAATAGGTGTAAACAAAGGCGTAATTGAGAATGTATAACTATGCTAAGGATCATGTCATGATGATAACTAGATTAGTATATGCATATAGATGATGCAAATAAGATTGACTAATCCTTAGTAAATCCAAATCAAATTCTCATTACTTTGTGTTCAAATTAACTTAAATATGGCCTCTAGTGCATCCCATGAACCTAGATAACCCACATAAAGTTCATGACAAAACTTAGGAAATCAACGATGACGAAGTTCATTGAGGCCCCAACCAACTCTTAAGAACCTTATAAGGTCCTTGGATGTAATGGACTCAAACAAATCCAAATATCCTTATGCATATTATAATGCCTTTTTTTTTAGTTCAAGACACTTGGTCAACCCGGCTTAACATGTGAAACTTAGGTGACATTACGTGATTGCACCAACGCCAAGTATTTTTTTGGGATGAAAATGGCTTTTAGTTGAATTAATTTTTCGTAGGATCACTAAGGAACAATCTTGATCCAATAAAGGGTCTTTAAGAGCTGTAAATTTATGTGATTTAGAGAAGTTGAAGCACATGAAGGAGTGTGGGAGAAAGATGAGGGTACCTTCTTTGAAGGTTTCAAGTAGGAACATAAATAAGGAGGAGAAAGATTAGAAAGTTTCAGAAGTCTTTGTACGCCACAATACCATACTTGCCTTTGAAGCTAGATTTATTGCTTTAATTTACTTTTATTTTGAAGGATCTCATGTATTTGCTAACACCTAAATTTCAATTGTATCCGGCCTTATTTATTGGGACATTTTAAAAGCAAATGATGGAGAAATTCTTTAGAAGATTGTATTTTAAATCCAAATGATTGGCCGAGTTTAAAATTTTTTTTTTTTTTTTTTTTTTTTACTAATACTCCATATGTTTACATTTTTACTTAAGCTTATTTTAATTAATTCTATTAAATCCCATAAATGTTGGAAATTAAATGGCTGAAATTTGTTTCCAATAAATTTTCGTAGACATTGGATTAATGACTGCACTTTGTTACAATGCGAATGTAAATATTCCTTCAATAACCTCAAATGCTGGAACTTAATTGCTGCATACTTGGGGGTGATTTTAAAGAATTTATATTAGTATTTATTTTCTTATTTAATCTCTAATTTTTTACTGAGGTTTTAAAGAATGTTAGACAGTGAATCAAGCAAAGAAGATTACATTGCAAAACAAGAGAACGAAGTATCGCCTCAAGCAAATGATAGCTTGCTATATTTGAAAAAAGGCACAGGTGGGTAAGGAATCTGCGGAAAACGAACTCTGTGCTCAAAGACGAATCTATGCAAGTTCTTTAAGATTGCCGGACTTGCTAGACTTCCAACTGTTTTTCTTCTTTAGGCGGGTTTAGGGAGAAAAAGAGATATGTTGTTTGTTATCAGCCCGAACAAAACCCCTTGCTTCCATGATCTGTTTATCGAGAAAGAGAGGGGGTGCTCATACGATTCGTACTGGGGTATCATATTTATTTTTTATACGAACAATTGAAGTACATGATCTAGTCTTTTTTAGTACGAGAAAGTGATAGAATGTCTCTTTTTTTTAGAATGGGTTTTGCTTTTGGTCTCGTATTTATAGTGTCGTATTGAATGAATACAACTCTAGTTTCTAGTTTCTAGTTGGGCTGGCTCGATGACTCAATATGAATCAGTGGTTTTTGATCCTTCTTATTCTATTCTTGATCCAATGTAGAGAGACAAGGTATGTCCATCTGACTCTATTCTGCAATTGGGATTGGGAAACTCTAGCACTTCTATCTTTCAAGCAAAGTTGAGTGAAAATAGCATCTTTTTTGGCATACAAGGGGAGAATCTATCTATTTACCTTAGCGCTTGAAACTTTGCATGGAGTTCGATCCGCCTGTTCACTCATCTTAATACGCTTATTCTCTTACCACAAACACCGTACCATGCAATAACCTTCTAATTTTTTCTTTGATAAACTCCCTGCAAATTCAACTGTAAACTCACGGCCACCTTCAACTTGAGAAGACATCATATTTTCAGGGCCTAGAGCAATGTAAATGTTTCAATGTCCATCAAAGAACAGGTTTAAAAAGTTCTTTTAAGTAAGTGAAGAGTGCCAATCCATTTTATTTTTTTTAAATAGTTGAACTTGTTTTTCAAAATTCCAATTTACAATTCAGTTAAATAAATTTTCAATTTTTGAAATACCTTCTTGGTAAGATTTACATTAGGTAAAATTGTTTCTTGCTGAAGTTTCTAATTGATGAAATAACATATGGGAAAGTACATGATTTCATAGTGCTGATAAAATATGCGCTGAAGTCAAATTAGTAATTCCTCACATTTATTTCACAAGAATCTGCTTTCACGAGTTCATTTTGTTAACCTTGTTCTTATTAAGGGTCCGTTTGGGGCAACCTATGTGTTTCAGGATAAGTTGTTTATTCTGAAACGCGGCTCGCTGCGTTTAGTGTAAAAGCCCAACACAATTTCGGATAAACTAGCGAAATACGCGACCAAACGGTACGGCGGGGGTTTTCCTCACTTATAAGCTACCCCAAACGAACCCTAAATCCATTCAAAATTCGTTAGAATTTTTTTTTTTTTTTGAACGGCTTATCATTATTAAACCTCATTACATTTATTAAAAATTTTAAAACTTACTTCTCCAAATCATTTGACTCACAAAACTGTTAAATTGTTTCTTGATTGTAATCGCAAAATCTTAAGTTTTATTGATGCCAAGTTAACATTTCAAGCAAACTAAGAATACATTGTGTTGACGCTTAAATCACTTTGATACTATCATTATTTAACTCAATCATTGATACTATCATTATTTAACTCAATCATCAAGATAATTTATAATGTGAAATTTCACTGGTTATATTTTATATTTTTACAATTTACAGAAAAAACAAAATGCAAAATTGTAAAACAACCCTCTATCTTGAAAAATAAATTTTACATATTTACCAACTGCATTAGGAACAAGTTAACCAAAGCACCCTGAAAAATTAATACTTTTAGCTTACCTTGACACCAAACCAAACAAGCATATCAGAATGAGCCACAGGGAGAGGACCAGGAGCACACTGAAAGTATCCATGTGGAAAGTAAAACATTACATGTCAGCCACCAAGTGGCAAATTCAAAACCAAACCGCGCTTATATGTTATGCAGCATTCATGTTTTTAACAAGAAGCGCCTAGAAAGCATATGATGTAAATACATTTATAAATATATATATATATATATATATATATATTTAGGACTGAGCAAGCAACTTGGAGTCACAGGCAACAATCTTTACCCGGCCAACATTCTCCTGGCACTCCTCATTCTTAAATATCGCATCCCGTAAGATGAAGGTCCACACGTTGTCGCAGAATCTGTAAGTGTGCAGATGTCCCTGTCCACAAAGTAAGAATATAAATCCTTCCTCAATCACAATGACAATGTTACTGTTTTTTTATTTTCTGTAATTAAAAAAAAAATAGCATGTTGCATAAATACATGAATATAAATGAACAATATTAAGGGTGACATTGAGGCTTAAGATCATATGCATTAAGTGTAATGAATTGCTTATGACCACAACATGAGAACCTGAATAATCAGTCTGAACTATATATTGCATTCAGACATTCATTAAACGTAGTACTTGTCATCAGATTCAAAGGATTCATGTCATAATTTTTCGACAAAAAATATGACATTCAATAGGACACAATGAAGAAAAAGCATTCATGTAGCTTACCACACTTGGTACAATAAAGACTTGTTGTTTTTGTTGTTGTTGTTGTTGCTGCAGTACGTGTGATCATATATCAAAGTTCAATGTAGACTAAATAACTTTTGGAGTAATCCAAGTTAAAAGGCACATGGTTAACAGCAAATGAAAATATTATCACAAGCCAAAACGCATCAAAAACAAGACTCTAGAGCAAAACAAGGTAGAAATCATAAAATCCACAAATAAAATAATTAATAAAATGAAATCGTGCTTTAATCACATTGCCACAATATAAAACAAAGCAAGCTTAAAGATGGACAGGCAATACTGAAAAAAATACATAGCAATAAGCATCCTTTGGAATTAGATTCCGTTGGGCTTCTCTGAAATCAGGTTTCCATAATTATTATATTTTGTATGCTTGGGAATGATGATCAATATTAATTCTAACAAGAAAAATCTTACTATAAGTTTAATCTTACTATAAGCTTTGAAAATCAAATTGAACATTAAACTAGAAAGAGAGTTCAATGTTCAATCATTCAATCAGAGGCTACAATAAGGAGTTTTGATCGAATGATGTAATAAGAATTAAATTTATTTTAATATGATTTAAAGGATATAATAAGGATACTTTTCTCCATTTTATATGGATTATTCTGATCTCACAAGAAAAATAAGAATAGGAATTATCTCATTAAAGATATCTACAAAATCTCATTGAATGACATTTCGAACCACTAATCCATCAAAATAAGGGGCAATTCACATTTTCATATGCATTCCTTTTTTTATATTTTATTAGGACTTAAATATCTCTAAAGCTAAATGAAAAAAATGCCTTAGAAACACTAAACAGAAAGACTAAATCGTAGAGATTATTTATCTATCCATCCTTAGAAGCACTAAATAGAAAAATATATCCTAAAGACTATTCTATCTATTCAGGCAGCCAGCTAGCTAGCAAAAAACTAGAATTGCTTTGCAAAAATTGTAAGTATAAAAAAAGGATATAAAAAAATTAGGTTACCCCAATTAAGGTGGTGGAATTTGAGAAAACAAGAAAGCTGCTATGATGGAAATATAAAACTCTTTAGTTGAGCAAAATATAATATAGGTTGAGATAACTAGCTTCATTAAAAAAATTGCTTTAGAAATTTTAATGGATTTTATAAATATTTGTGCATCAATTATGCCGCTTAATATTGAAGTGATGAGGTACAAAATATTACTTGAGGAAAAGAAATGATGCTCTTAAAGAAAAAAAAATGAAAACTATTGAGACTTGCATAAAAGAATGCAAGGACCCGTAAGTCCTGAAAGTATGAAGCAAAGAAATAATCATTTTACACTTTTTCTATTTGTTCCATTTAGTTGCTTTTCTGATTGTTTTTATTTTAACATCAATTGTTTGTTCATATTTTAACATCAAATAAAAGCAAGTTTGTTATTCTAGTCCAATTATGATATTTAAAAAAAAAAAAGAAAAGCATACTGACACAGGAACGTCAGACTTGCAAGATGTCGCGATCTTGATTACGAAAAGTCCACGACATAGCGGAATTCAGGGATCCCACGATTCTGTTACAATTCAAACAGGGAACTCGATCAAGGTAACTCAGAAATATGTGGTGAACCTCCTCGCTGCCCGTGCCATGTTGTTTAATGGCTCTTCTCGCTGTTTTCAGCAGAAAGCTGCCGATCGACGCTTATTTCTGTCCAAGCACCGTCAAACTCCCAGATTTCATTATCTCACAATTCTAAACCAGTTCCCAGCTAAATCACTTTCCTAAATACCTTCCATTCTCCCTAGAATAAAATCATTTGATATCAAAGGCCAACAAGCTCTAGATTTTTAGGAGTCTTTCTTATCTCAAGCCAAAGTTTCAAAACAAAAAAAACCCCCCACCATATCCAAATCAATACTACCATAACTCCTAGTCCTAACACTAAAGTTCAAAATCTAATTTTTCTACCTCCACAAAATTTTACCCTCACACCTAACACCAAAACTTAATTCTACGACCAACTTTGAATTGCAATCTTATATGCGCCTAAAACTTGATCAGGAGCAAATGACACAATGCCGCTTAGGAGAAATCCGCAAAGAGGTCACCAAGAGTTTAATATAAAAGAGAGATAAAGAGAAATTCATCAACTGCAACAAAGGCTTACCTCCTATGAGAGAATAAAATATGATAAAATTATCCATAGCCACAACAGTAACTCTCCAGATTGAGAGGATGAAGTGAATCTATTCTACTAAGCAATTTTTAGTAATGAAGAACCAAAACATCAATGATTTGAAATAACATATCAGAAGAGAAGCCATGCCCTTTAGAGTAAAATTAGATTTACTGGATTTCAATAGTCACATGGATCCAGATGAATTTATCAAGTGGCTTCAAATAGTAGAACGAGTTTTTTAATACAAGGATGTTCCTCAGAATAAGAGATTTAAATTTACAGGCATCAAGCTCCGGATAAATGCTTCATTACTGTGGGAAAAACTGAAATATCTTTAGCAGCGGGAATGAAAAAATAAATTATTACATGGTCCAAGATGAAAAGAGAAATATAGAGCAAACACCTTCTTTTGCGTTACCGATAGGATATATTTACCAGACTTCATCACCTGCTCCAGAGAGATTCTTCTGTAGAGAACACAACTGAGTTCGAGTAAATTCTATTGAAGTTTGGGGTAGTGGAGTCCAAAGAAAGCACCATAGGTCGATTTATCTAAGAAGATTAAGACTTTCCATTAGTAATGTGGTACAATAGAAATTCCATTACATTAAAGGATGTCCATACCTTAGCTCTAAAATTGGAGAGACAACACAACAATATCAAGGTCCACACCACCCTCCAAACAGAGTTCAGCCATTAGATCAGACAACAAGAGTAGCCCAATAGAGACCAAAGTTGACCCAAACAGAGGATAAACTCGAACAAAGAGGAAAAAAAGTGAAGCCTCATAGTACTCCCAAATCTATTCCAGCCAATAAATGCTTCAAGTGTCATAATTTTGGCCACGTGACGCCTAATTGCCCAAACAGAGGACGATCTCTTTCATTATGAAGGGAGCAGTTGAAAAAAATGACAGTGACACAGAGTAGAATGAAGACTTTAGAGAGGACTCTCAATTTCCAACCTCCGAGGAGAAGACACTAGTGATTCAAGCTAAGCCCATGAGAGAGATTGCAACATAATTAACATTGGTTATTCTAGAAGGCGGTGATTACGAGAAGCTGAGAGTAGAAAAGAGGTAGCCACGATTGAGGGAGTCGCTGGATATCCCGACCGACATTTTATCGCTTCGGTGATTGCCATTAAGATATAAGGAGGGTGAAAAATATATGTATAAACTAGCCAAACAAAGAGAGAAGAAAAGTAAAGATTTAACTCAAGTAAAGTGTATTAAAGATGAAAATCAAAAAACACTTTTCTTAGAAAAAGATATTCAACATAGGTGGGTGAGTTATTTTGATAAACTTTTTAATGAATGTTCTGAAAATATGATCGACCTTAGTGATCTTAATATCGTGAATAATAATAAAACATTTCATTTCTACTGTCGCATTAGTAAAAAAGAAGTTGAGGAGGCTTTAAAGAAAACCAAGGGTGGAAAGTCTGTAGGACCTGATGATATCCCAATTAAAGTGTGGAAATATTTTGGAGATTTGGGTGTTTCTTGGCTTACTAAACTCTTTAATATTATTTTAAAAACTAAAAAGATGTCTGAGGAGTGGAGAAAGAGTATTTTGATCCCCATGTTTAAGAATAAAGTGAATGCACAAGAGTGTGCAAATTATAGAGGAATTAAGTTGATGTGTCATACTTTAAAATTATGAGAGAGGGTAATTGAACATAGGTTAAGACGCATTACAAAGATTTCTCATAATCAATTTGGGTTTATGTCAGGCAGATCTACTATGGAAACTATACATTTATTGAGAGATTTGATGGAGAAGTTCGGAGATAATAAGGAGAATCTACATTTTATTTTTATTGATTTAGAAAAAGCATACGATAAGGTTCCAAGAGATATCCTTTGGAGAGCTCTTGAGAAGAAAAGTGTTGATATGACTTACATTCAAGTCATTAAAGATATGTATACTAGAGTTGTTACTTGTGTTCAAACTGAAGGATTGACCAAATATTTCCTATTTTTGTTGGATTACATCAGGGATCGACTCTAAGCCCTTATCTTTTTGCTTTAGTTATGGATGATCATACTGGACATCTACAGGAGGATGTACCTTGGTGTAAGCTTTTTGTTGATGATATCCTTCTCGTGGACAAAACGAGAGAAAAAGCCCAGAAAAAACTTGAATTATGGAGGTCTACATTAGAGTCTAAAGGCCTTCATTTAAGTAGAACTAAAACTGAATACATGGAATATAATTTTAGTAGTAGAAACTCTAGTGACAGAAGTGTGACTTTGGGTGATCAAACTATTAAAAGGTGTGAACGTTTTAGATATCTTGAGTCAGTTGTTCAGAGCGATGGTGATATAATTGGGGATGTTAATAGTAAAATTCAAGTTGGTTAGTTGAAGTGGGGGAATGCTTCCGACCTTTTGTGTTATAGAAAAGTACCGCTTAGACATAAAAGAAAATTTTATAAAACGGTGGTGAGACCTACATTGCTATATGGCGCTCAATGTTGGCCTTTAA